ACAGAGGTTGCTAGGGCAGAAAGCCCTTGAGTTCATGTAGTCCTTGCTTAGATGCACTTAGTAATTTCAGTACTTGGCCAGAACCCGACTTAGCATTTATGAGCTGCTCTCTGAAAAGGATGGGCCAAATCTACTCACTTTCCCAGGACTTTCTTCTTAGTATTGCTGGGGAAACTGACCTGTATACTAAGGAATAAAGCCAGACATTCCTTTATTCCTTCCCATATTTTTACTGCCACACTAAAGTTTTGGTGAACGCACTGGCAGGACACTTTGATGTGAGGTCCTGAGTACCTCTTGCTGGAGTTTGCTGTATGGTTTCTTCCAACCATGACTCAGTTTTAGGGATCCATCCTGCTCACTCTGAAGCAGCGAACAGGAGGCTTGCTATTACTCTTAACAATTCACGCCTCTACAGCAGTCTATCTATACTCACATATGACACTGAGAGGCACAGGTCCTTGTCACTAGCCCAGAAGTGAATATATTTTCTAGTTTAAAAACCCACAAAGTTTTGTTCAGCAAGCAACAACTATAGCTGATTTACAGCTATAGATTCCACATTATCTGCACTTCATAAGAAGCGGACAACAGCATGACTGTTCTAAAACGTGCCTTCAGTCAAGTGTGAAGGCAGATGACTGCCACGAGATTTTCAGGCAAAAGGCCTCTCTGTAGACATGTCTCATCTGTGGCACTTCCCCAGGCACACCTGTAGATCTTGGGCAAGCACTGGCCAGCTCTCACTGACAAACATGAGAATGCAGAACCACTGCTTAGTTCCTTTCTCGCTCTGAAAACACAGTATTCACTCAGAAATACTGACATTCTAGTAGCAGTTCATGAAGAGTTGCTTTTATTTGCCTCCCTGCTCTTTGCACCTTTCAGATTCATGTTGCAATCCTGTGGACTAGAAACATGCTGACAAAGAAAAACATACAGGATCAGTGATTTTATGAAAATGCCAGAAATCACAAGGTTTGTGATAAAACTGCAAGAACTGGCAGCGCTGTGCCCTCAGCTACCAGCAGTTAGATAGGGGTGGAGACTGGAGACAGCAGAAATCAAGTTTCAAGGAAACCTGTAATTTTCTTTTCCTATTAAAGGTTTCTCTTCTCTCTTATTTGTCATACATAGCCACCTCCCACAGAGAATGGCCACAGTCACAGCTTCTGTCTAAAAGACACACAGTATCTCAGAGTACAAAAATAGTGACTCGAGTATTGGAAGCAGAGTACCCCCTGCAGGAGCTACATGACCTGTCTCAGGCTGTGGTGCCTTGGTGCTGGTGCTGGTGCTGCTCTTATAACACGCTGCCGTGCTTCTCAGGGCTCCCTGGAGTGCAACCAGGCAAACACCAGCTTCCTTCTGGCCTATAAATACATTAAGCTCCTGTTAGAAAACAACAAAGAAAACCGATGGAGCAGGAGTAGAAATTCTAGTATTAATTACCAGAACTGCAGGAGGTTAATTAGCTTTGCTGAATAATTACTCAAATTCTAGCAAATGTACTGAAATCGAAATCCAAATCCGATGCTTGTTTACCTGCCTGGAGATTCTTCATATCCCATGACACTGAAACTGATCTAATTTGAGGCATGGCTCTAAATACAGATTTCATTACTTTTCAAGTGCTGCACGGCACAGACCCAGCTCCTAGGAATGCAGGTCTGACTCCCTTCAGTCTGCAGATCGCACACAGCCGTCAGCTGCACTGTAAATCCAGCTGAGGGAGGGAAGGGAGCAGCGTTAAGCTAAATAACAATGTTGGCACAAGAAAAGAGGAGTTAAAACTGACCATGATTATATTTAGGCTAGAAGTAAGGATACCTTTAATGATTCATGCTATGCCAATCCGTTAAAGGATTACTGCCCCCAGCTGACACATCACATGTTAATGGCAACTGCTGTCCAGTTCAGTTTACACTAAGATGCTGGGCAGGCACTGTGACACCCAAGAAGTTCACTGACGTGACCTCGGTGATGAGGTCAATAGCTGGGCTGTTGTAAACAGTCTCAGTCTGAGTTTCCAGAGCTTAGAAAATCATCACTACTTCATCACTACAACTGTGAGGTTCTGGCAAATAAAGAAGCCTAAACATTTTTAACATAGAACTCAAAACATCTATGAAAAGAAACACATGAACCTAGTGCTTGTGATATCACCCAGGTCCTATACAGATAAATTCGTCAAGAAAATCCCAGAAGGTAAGGGATTCAGGTGTATGGTATCTTTCTCCTACACACGCTGCAGCATACTGCTTTTGCGCCAAAGAGCACAGTAGTATTCCGTGTTAAGGACTTGTCCACGCAGCCACTTAAGAAAATCTCATTCACCTAATACCAGTCCACCTTTAAGTGGATTAATAAAGTATCATCAAGCCTCCATGTGGATGCCCTTTTTAGAATTCAGTTCAACTTAACTGATTTCCAAATTAAAAATAATCCATTCTTTTTTATGCAAACACTTGTTTTAGGGAACAATTTAAAGAAACCATAGAAGATGATTTTGTTCATCTTTCTTAGAAGGTCATGTCCACAAACTGATGTTTTGTTCAGCATTGTCCATATGATATCACAATAGACAGATTAAAGATACGCACAGATTTTCCATGATCATCAAATCACTTTCTCCTTCTTTTAGTGTCCTTCTCTATCTCACCAAACTTCTAATTGTCTCCAAGTATATCCAGGGGATCTGTGTGTATGTAAGAAAGAGTTACAGAATTGACAATGTAATCTTATCTGAGTCTGTCCTGGATATCAACAGGATAATTGACAGCAGTGAGCAGGAAGATCAAAGGGTATTAACCTGTAGCTATTCAAACTCATCTATGGCCATATAAAAAAACTCCCTACTTTACCGTAGTTACATAGTTACCTTTATTACTTAGCACGAATTTACAAAATAGGCAAACTTCAGGTAATAAGGCTTCAAAGACTCCTCCATGGACAAAACGTCCTGTAAGTTATCAGCCTCTTTGCCAATGGGCAGAGGCACAAAGTCTTGGCCCAGGATACAGGAGGCCTGGGGAGTCACCGCTATCGCTACCATCCTTGGTCATACTGCATGTTAAGAGAATTCAGCAAAAGGCATCTGATCTACTCTACAGCTACTTGCCCTATCCTTACCAGTGTTACGGAAGCCCATCGGCTTCTAAAACTAAAGTCTTCATACAGATGTAGTTAGTGCGACAAATGGATGTAGTTAGCGCGACAAATTTCTATGGTATATTCACCTTGGAAAAAAAAAATCAAAGCAACCAGGAAAAAGCATTTCTTAGATTCTAATTTTTTATTGAAGAAGACTGAGAAGAAATTTTTGTTCTGGAAAGGAAAGCAATTACACAGGAATTTTATGCCCCTTTGGGTCAAAATAGGGGAAGCACAGAACCATGGATAAAGCAAATATTCAATAATATGGCTTATTCACTCCAAATAATTTTAGCTTAGCAGTGCTTTCATGTCAGAAGTTTTCCTTTAGAGGCAAAGCTTCTAAGATGTCCCCACAATGGCTCATTCCCACCTCTGAAATGTGATTTGTCAACCCTTCAATTGTGCTGACACAGCTGTTTGCAGAACATGCTATAAAGCAGATCACTGAGATAATCTGGGTTAAAACGAAAACAATACTACTTCTCTTAGAATGGATATTTTTAACTTGCAGCCCCACAAACAGCTGTATCAGCAAACTGGAGAGAGCAGAAAACTGGAAGTTGAGGAGAGCAAAATCAGGCTGGGAATGAGGAGAGTGAGAGACAAGCAGGAACCTCTAAAACCAGCTTCATTGCTGAAAACCATGTCATGCAACCAGACACTCATCTCCTCCTGGCTCACACTTAGTGGAATTCTTCAGACGAGCGTGAAGTACCCATAAAAACACACGCAGCACCTTCTGTGTATTGCTTTAAGCAAACAGAAGGTGGAGAGAGTCTGTACACAAGCGACATATTGCACAGAGTGAAATCAAGAGCCATTTTCTAAAATTTTTTCTTTTTAATAAAAAAGCCCAACTACCTACTTTTATATAAAAACAAATTCTAAAAACATTATCTTCAGAAATACAAAAGCTCTTTTCTCAAGTTTGAGGTATCGCACTGCAGCTCAAGTTTCCCATGCTGCCATTTATGTCTAATGAAAATCTGGTATCTTTAAAGCACAGAAAAACCTCTCACTTTCATTTTATAGGCAGGTAGCTGATCAGGAAAATCTGAAAGACAAAGAGGCTCTTTCTACTATCTTTCTCACCCCTGAGCACACCACAGGCTCTGCAACCTCTCCTCCCAACCTTCCTCGGGGGCTGGCGGTGGGTGCTCGGGGCCAGCTCTGCCGCGCTGCAGCCGTGCCCCAGGCTCAGGCTGCTGGGGAGGAGCAGTGGGGCTCGGTAGAAGCCCCACTGGGGCTCAGTAGAAGCTTTTAAGCCCTGGGCCTCGCATGAGCCATGCCGGGGGTATGCCTGCACCAGCCTTGCACCTTGCCAGTCCTGCCCCGATGCTCCGACTGCCGGACTCAGTCTCTGCCCGGCTGCATCATGATGGACCCACTGGGGAATGGGGCCCGGGATCCCTGCGGCGGCCCCGCTCTGCTCACCCGTCTCAGGCACCGAGGGACTGCGCCCTGCCAGGAGGACACTGCCTGGCTGCTACCTGCGCCTCCTGGCTCCTTTTCCCTCGCCAAGCAGCCCATCTCTGCTACACCCTGACAGCGTCACATGCTGGGCTCCCTGACAGATGCTGATCAAAGATGAATTTCCCATCAGACTGAGATTCTATAAAAATTCAGTGTTTTGCAGATTGTCAGACAGAATCCACATGGCCGATAATACACTAGCACACTGCACACGAGATGAAGCGCAGCGTTTCGCTGGGTACAGTTTTCAGAGGCGAGTTCCACAGTGTGTTTTACAGAACAGGGCACTGGCTGCCAGCCTTGCCAGAACACACTGTGAAGGAAAGAAAGAGTCACTCTGCCCACAGCAACAGCACCTTCGGCTAAGGACCTTCTGCTGTAGGTGATGCTGACCGAGAGACCTATGGTTACCTCCTTCGCTTTCCACCATCTATTTTTCATTTTCTGCTTTCCAGAGAGGCATCTACTATAGATGGGTAGAAATGGCCCTGATTCAGTATCTCCTCCAAAAGATACTGCCCTCCCACATCAGAAGAAGGCTCAGAACTTTGCCCAGAGCAGTATTCGCCAAGATCCCAAACTGTGATGTGATGAAAGATCTTCTGGCACCGAGGAGGCAGAGAGACCAACCCCTACCTTCTCATGCTTGGAAAAGAAGCTGAGAGGTTTGTGCCAGGCTTGCACGCTAACAAGGTAAGGACAGCTCCTCCGCTGCTGCTGTGCTCTGCGTTGCCTCAGGACGGTGAGGGACCAGGCGACATCAGGCGAAGACGCTTCCTTCTGACCATGGATCTGAGAGAGGCTGAGATCTCTCTGTACCGGAGCCCATACAGAAAAGGGAACAAAACTTTAGGCAGAATCATCAGGACATTGCAGATTGCCAGGGAGACCCAGATTCCTGTCTGCAGTCCAATGACAGTGTTAATGTACAAGAGCGATTCTACAAGAAAGGCCAAGAGTGGAGAGAAGTAAAAGAATAACACAGTGTGATGCATTAAGAATGTCACACTGGCTCTAGAGGAGATGCTCTCCCATATCCCTGATTTTCTTGTTTTAAAATACAGAATAGCATAGCAACAGAGCATTAAAAACAGGCAGAGAAAGATAACAGAGGCAGCAAGCCAGTAACAGAGTTTCGCAGCATCAGTCCCATTCAGCGTTAACACCAGTATTACTGGAACAGAGCACATTTCCAGGACATAAGGCATAAAGCTCTGAGTGCTCCATAGCAACAAGAAGAAAGTTGCAGGGAAAGCCCCAGAACAGATCCATAGTAATACAATCACTTTTTTCGTTCGTGAAGCAGGCAAAATAGCAATGTAGCGCAAAGGAAACAAAATAGCTATGTATGTGTCCAAGACCATTGCAGCAGCTGTGAACAATCCTCCGCAGTAAGCCAGTGCCAGCAAAAATAACAGGAGGACACAAGCTTCCTTCGGGAGCTTTAGATCTGCTGCATTAAAAACAGCAGAGAGGGTGTAGGACAAAATGTATATCAGGTCACAAAGCAAAGCATTTCCCAGCAGCATGTACCTTGTTTCCTGACGGATGCTAAACCTAGAGAAAATCACAAACAAGATGGAAGGAATGATGAGGACACCTGCCACGAAGCAAACAAGTGGAGGGATTAAAAACATCTTAATGTTTCTGTATGATGGGCTGAGAGTCCATTCCCGCAAATAGTACAAAACAGCTTCATCCAAAGGTGAGGAACTGTTGGACTCTCTCTCCCTGTGGAGGCATGAGGTTCCATTCAGTCTCTTTACAAAAGCACAGACAGAGAAGTTCATTTCTTCAGCATTTGGGGCTGACTGCATCACTTGAAGAAAGTAAGGTCTTCTAAGCCGAGTCCTCAGAACGGCAGATGAAGTGGAGAATGCAATAAGCCTGTGGAGGCAAAGTCACTTCTGCTGCCAATTCTGCCAGCTCTTCTGAAGGACAGAAAGTAGAAATCTGTAGGCAAATTCTGTGGTGCTACAAACGTGTTCGCATATAGCAGAGATTTTCTTTTCTTTCTGCGAAATCTAATGTTTAGAAAAGAGAATGATTCTTTGTGCGCTTTAAAAAAAATCTAAATCCCACAGCTAGCTCTTTGATCAGGAGATGAATGGGTTGATCATTATTAGTAATTTGAGTTTGTTCTCACTACATTATCACACCAAAGAGGCAGATGGAGTATTAGCCTGATTAAACAGATATGAGGTGATAAAGAGCAACATTCCAAGTGTACTGATGTAGGAGAGTCATAAATGTGATTAGATAATATTTTCTATCATTTTTATGCAACAACACAATTGATTTGGAGTAATCAATAAAAATGGCTCTCAATCCTGTTGTAAAATTGTATCACAATGGCTCCAGTGAAATAAATGATCTTATTTATAGATGATAAACAATTTCGCTCCAGTGAATTAAATCACTTATTTATACATGATAAGCCTTCCCCTGCCCTTTTTAATACATGATACACAAATACTGAATTCTCAGTTATCAGAGACTCACAGTCAATCTAAATCGTCTGGGAGGAGTGGCATGCACTATAATGCGCCAGCATACCCTACAGCAGACCGGGCATTTCCAACGTCCATTTGGAGACCAATTCTTGGCTTGCTGGCTGCACAGCACTGCTCTGCTCTTACTGTCCAGATCTCAGTATCAAACCTGGGAGTGCAATGAGAGAGTGTGTGGCATCTGGCGGTGGAAAAGGAACTCTTCATGTTCTTCTAGGAGTGGCCTGACCAGAATAAGAATTAAATTTATTCACAGGCTCAACATTGGCCAATAGTGCTTCAGTCTTAATCAGAAAGACTATACTGATGCAGTTGCACATCATCTTGTGTGATGCAAAGTGAGTGATAAATCTGAGACTGTTGTGAAGAACACTAAAAGGAAGATATTTATGTGTCGGTATTGTATGCTACACAGAAAAGACTCTGGTGGCTACTGAGCAGTCATAAAAAAGCTTCTGTGTTTGACTACAAAAGACCAAGCTGTGGTTTGGGCCAAGGAACTACTCTTGAAAAAAAGAATGACTGAATTTGTTAAAATTCTTGTTTGTCTTGCCTCTTTCTTTTTGGTGAGGGTCAGAGAAACCTGTGCTTAGATCAGACAACGGCACCTTAGAGCTCTCCCCTTTTAATGCAATATTATGAGGTCCCACTTCTAGGAGACTAGGGAATCTATCCTTAAATGCACTACCTGAAGAAGTGGTATGCTTATTTACCTGTGTTGAGGCAGGATTGAGGGCAGGGACTAGATTTCCCTGTGCTCTACACACACAAGATAAAATGGTATCTCCTACCCCGCAGAACAGGATCAGACTATGGATTGATACATGGGGGGATCAACTTGCTTCATCTGTTTGGTGCCACAGAGGATGGGGAGGCCTGGCTATAGCTCGTCCTGAGGAGACTGGTAGCAGTGAGGCAGATCTGAGAAGGATATAAGGAAGGGTGAAGAGGAGGCTGCATGATGGGAAATCTGGAAATCGGGTGCTCATTCCAAGCTACCATGAGTTACTCACCAGCGCTGCTGGCATGCATTTGAGGAGAATCAGATGCAGTATCTGTTTTAAACAAGAGTATGGCCTACATCACTCTAATATTGACCGGCCTGAATGCCAGAGGTGAATAAAGAGGGGCAGCATACTGTCAGGAAGCAATCACAGGAGACAGTTTCAGGTTATCTTTTCAAAGCAGCTAAAAGAACAAGGGGGGAGTTTACTTCTCTGGGCTGCCACATTCCTGGGAGAATCAAAGGAGTTTGACTGGAAGTGGAGAGGGGAAAGGGTCACTGGGCCTCAGAACTGACAGAAAAACTAGCCCTCCTCCCTACTTCTCCCACACCATCTGTCAGAGGGACTACGCAGGAGCAGCCACCAGGCTGCCTGGGATAGAGAAATTAAATGGATAGAGAAATTAAAACACTGCTTCCCTTTTGTACCTTATGCTTTGCACTTCTGAGGACTGACTAACCCATGCACTGCACTGCAGATGCTACTGCTGTGTCAGTACGCACTTCCGCTCTCCCAGGTGCCCAGGAGAGTGCGGCAGGGCAAGGAGGAAGGAATCAGGACCGTCATCTAAAAGGGGTGCCCCTGCAAGGGGCCACTGCGGTCTAAGGTGCTTTTTGGCCACAGCAGCACTGTTTCATTTCGTTGCCTGATTCCTCGCTGTCACGCACTTCCTGCAGTTGCTTACCTGTGCATGAATGAGACACCACCGCTACCACACCACAGTATTGTGCTGTTTACACAGAGCATAAGTAACGAAGACAAGGGACTGGCACAGTATGTAGCTTGTCACCCCTCAGCTCTACATGATCTTCTCACCTGCTGCATCCATGGTGCATGGGCATCCTGAAATATTTTATGTGACGGTAAATGCCAAAGGATCATAGCCAGTATTTGAAAAGTGGTGGGTGCACAAGCCGAAGATCTAATAAAACAGACAAAATGCATAGTCAACGAAATCTGTTGACTGCCCAGCTGCTTTGAAATTATATTCCTTATTCAGGTGCCTAAAAATAAAGACGTCTTAAGTTCATTTAGACAAGCCTTCGGCAGTCTTGACAAGTCTACGAGGACCTCCCACGTTCACCAGCACAGTCAAATCTTTAACTATTGTTTCAAGTACGATTTTCCTTCTCCTCTCAAGGAATATGGATTCTACTACTGATGCTACAAGAGCAGGGGGAAGGCAGCTGCCTGCTTAACACGGCATGTTATATTCATTATTTTCCCAATAGTACCAGCATGCTTGAACGCTTTGGCAGCATACAGCAGTTCAGTGTGGGTCTATCCATGGGAGACGGTGCACAGTCTCACCTCGCAGAAAGACGTGCTGAGCAATGGACATGCTGTCTCAGGGCATGCCAAATAACGAAGCAGAGAGCTTACAAAACCCAGCATCAGTCATCAAACCTGGCGCATGTTTCATTTCCTTAGCACACTGATAGCTGGCATCCGTGTTGTATGTTAAGACAGTTTGACAGGCTGCACCATATGGAACAAAGGGGTAGGAGGAAAACCAATGATGATTTTAAGAGCAGCATTTCTGTTGCTATGGCGCCTGGGTAGGAAAAACGGAAGGTGATTATTTTTGCTTGCTCAATCCTTCATCCGCTGAAAAGTGTGTGAACTACACTGGTGCGATTATGTATTTGGCTTCAGCATCATGCCTTTCATCTATCAACAAGTCACAACACAGTTAATGCCTTATTAAGTAGATAGCAACACTCAAGCACCCAAACTGTAGAATTTATTGTAATATTGCAAAATGGATAGGAAGCAATGAAAATTCAAGCAAGTGTGAATAGCCTCCAACTATAATTTCAAACCTCTCTAAGTGTATGCCGCCTCCTAGCTCTTGGCATTCCTTGGATGTCACATTAATAGGCAGATTTTCTTGTTTCTGTGTAAAATCACAACTGTATTTTCCACCAGCTGGTTAGGAATAAATGTGAACAAACAAAAGAGCTCATTGTCATCTCAGCTGCACACTTTAGGCTCATGGAAAAATAAATACAAATATAACATAAGATGAGCTGTTATACATAGATGCAACCAGCATTTGTAAGTTTGTCTAATGCAGCCAAGTATTTCACAGAGCAATGTTATGCAGTACTGTAATTTTACAAATATATTATCCTGGTGAAAAAAGAAGTCTGAAGGGCTTGCAGTTCTGCTAACAAATACTTCTTTTTTTTTTTTTTTCCAGCCTAGTAACTTTTCTCCTTATGTATGAAAACAGCATCCTTATAGTAGAGCCACCCCTCTGTCTTGGGTAAAAGAGCTAGGAATCAAGGGCTAGAAGTCCCAGTTATATCTGGGAGAGTAACAAACATCGATATCCTCACCACTTAAAAGTACAAAGCAAAAGTGGTAACTTTGGCCACCCTTCAGCTGAACTACCTACCCCATTCTCCATAGTCATCGCACAGAGCAATTACTAAAGGGTCAAGCTATTAAAGCAGTATACCAGCTTTAGCTCTAGTATAGCTGTGTTATGTGCACATTTTTACTGAAAGAATGGTAATGCTTTACTACCTTTTAAACATACACTTCTGCTGCCCTAAAGCGTGAGGAGACAAATAATCTGAAGGGTAAGCAAAGGTATGAGGTCGCCAATTATTCCGCAACAGCTGGCCGCAGGTTCCCTCTAGGCTCAGAGACCCTCATGGCAAAGGCGAGGTAGCTCTCCACTCTTTCATTTACCCTGAATGCAAAGAGTATCACAGAGTCCATGAGACACTGCAAGTTCACAGCTTTGCTTATCCTCTGCTCAGTTAATCACCCCCAACAGCCTAAGGATGGCAGAGTAAACCCTAAGGCACAACCTTGTTCGGCTTTAACTGTGCTACTGTAAAAGTCTTAGGAGTGCAAGCAGGCTCTAGTTTTACAAAATTGGGAAATAACAAATAATCTGAAGACAGGTTCAAACTCATCAGACCTGGACAAGTCCACTCAAAGCCACTCCCCTCAGATTTCCACGTGAGTCCTATGACTGTTTAGTATTGTTCTGCTGGATTTAAAACGTTAAAAAATGCATGTCTTGATGCAATGATGTACAGCCAGAAAAGGTGGCTCTGGAGAATATCTAATTGTTTCCTTTAATTTTCTTGAGCTTAAGAGTTATTTCTGCACCCAGACTACTGGCCAAAGGGATAGCAGCTCTGAAGACCACTTCCGAGGATACTGAACTTGGACAGCTACCTTGCTGTTGCGTCTCAGTGTTCAATATTTTGTGGTGCCAAGCTGAATGATTCTCCTGCAATTTCCTGTAAACCTGGCCTTAATGTTCTAGGTATTGATTCTTCT